GTATGAATTACATAAAAAATATACTGAACATCTTGATATGTATAAATTGAATTGAATTTGAATGAATCAATCATTCTGACCAAATATCATTATCATTATTGTAAATGTATAAAATAAAAATGAAGTTTTGTGATCATGTTGAATTGATTTGATAATTACTTACATAGTTATTTACGTCTGTTACCCTTCGTGGACGAGCATAGACAGCCTACCAGCATTCTCCATCCAACTCTGTCATGGGTAATCCTTTCTAGTTGTTTCCAGTTCTTATTTATTCTTTTGATGTCTGCTTCCAATTTTCGATGCAATATGTTCCTTGGTATTTCTCTGATTCTTTTCACTTCAGGATTAAAAGTTAGAGCTATTCTCTTGGTTAAATTGGATGACATCCACAATGTACGTCCTACTCACATCCAGCATATTTGTCTAGTTCCGAATTCAGCTACAAGTTGGTTTGTTCTGTCCCACAGTAGGTTGTAGCTAAAGGTATCCGACCAACGGATATTCATTATCTTACATAAACAATTGTTTATAATTACTTGTACTATTTTGATGATGATTGTAGTAGTTCTACAAGTTTCAGCTTCGTGCACTAGGACTGTTTTGACTTTCGTATTGAAGATGCTCACTTTGATACTGGTTGACAGTTGTTCTGAGTTCCATATGTTTTTGAACTGTAGGAATGCTGTCCTTGCTTTGCCAATCCTTGCCTTCATATATGCATCAGATTCCCCTTGTTCATTGACGATGCTGTTCAGGTACTTAAAGGTCTATACCTCTTCGAGAGCTTCTCCATCAAGTGTGATTGGGTTGATGTTGTCTACGTTGTGTTCGAAGATTTTGCTTTTTCCATTGTGTATGTTCAGGCCTAAGGTAGCAGAGGCTGCTGCTACACTGTCTATTTTCACCTGCATCTGTTGGTGTGTATGGGATGGAATTAGAATTAACATATTTGATTAGTTATTATCACTTTTTTCATATATTTCAATATACGTACAGCGTAAAAACATTATTGATAATGATAATAATAATAATAACGATTATGCAGAATGGAAATGCTTTCTACTCATTATAAAATGAGTTCGTATTCATGGATTTGGGCATATCACATCGATTGGAATGGTTATTGTTCGTGCAATACTGTCAGTTTTTTCAAATTTCCTTAATCAGTCAATGATCATCAACTAAGAGACTGCTACATATTTATATAATTTGGGTCAAGATGGCATATCACATTAGTCCAACAACATTACATTAAAAAGACGAAAAGCAAAAAAGCCGAAATATTGTAGTTGGAATTGTAATTGTAAGAAAAATGAAATGAGAATATAGTTTGAATAGATAGAATGAAAAGGCATAGATGTAGAGAAGGGTGAAATATGTTTATGGATTACATTTCTTTACATTTTTCTTTGTCCAACCATTATGTAACGAAGTTCTTCGTCTTATGTTAAATTGTTAAAACCAAAGAGAATTTAAATGTGTTTTTCCATCATAGAACTCGAATTTTATTGATCCCTAAACAAATCAATATGCAAAAAACAGATTCACTTATCAACAAAATATAAAAAGTCAAATAATTCCAATTAGTGTTGTTTGCTTCATCCCATTGCACAAGCAGGTGGCTTTTAGGACTCAGTTGCTAAGTGGATAACGCAATGGCGTTTGAAGCGAATAGTACTGAGTTCGAGTTCCCGAATGAACATAAACTCTGGGATGCAGGTACATCCAGCTGACGAGTCTGAAACGCGCGATCTGGATTCCACTACTAACCAATATCCATCGTTGTTTATTAAAAAAAAATCAGATTTTTTTATGTAAAGTATTTTTAACATAAAATCAAACATAACTAACATACGCTTAAAGCAGAAATAATTATACCGCATGCAACTTTGTTCAGTCATTCTCTACCCAATTAAACCTAATTATATAACTTGCTTATTACCGGAAGTTTCACTAATGACATTGTTAAACAATTAACTAAGCATTAATTTTGTTGGTAATAAAGGTACATATTGAAATATGTATTACCAGATATTGATAATACATCAATGGCAATATACAGTTTGTGGTGCTTTACAATAATACAAAGGCCACTTACTATTCAAATATGCAATCAGTGGGAGGCTTTCATAATTGAAGATGAGTGGAAAAAGCTTGTTGCTGCCGAACATTATATACATATCATTATCTCAAGGCTACATTTTAAAACCGATGAGGTGCTTCATTTTCCTTAGAATAAAAACCACATCATGGACAACTGCATGCGTCTAACATTATAATGTATCACCTTTTCCTGAAAGAAAACCGGTTCGGGTTTTTGAGTTCAAAAGTAGAAATGATTCGTTAATGTTTAGAACTACAAGTGATCAATCTTTGATATTATTTGTGAATTATGAGGGGTAATTCTATGATCTAGACTTGAGTTATAAGTTCTTAGTACATTTGTTATATAGCCAATAATGGAATTCAGGAAGTGTGTGCAGTCTACAGAAACATTTAGCTGACAACTGTCCAAATTCAAAATGAAACACGTGTCCTTGATTTCAGTCATAAATATATAATATTGTAGCATAAGTTGTATATAACGCTAGTTAGGAATAGAATGTCTAGCAGCAGAAAATCGTGAAAGAAAGAATGCGAACAGTAAACAATTGGTATGGTAAACATCTGAGACATTTAATGAACAATTTGCAAATGATTTATTTACTGTATGGTTCTCGGATTCTACAAAGTCGTTCTGTAATTTAGTGTTCAAAAACACTCGATTGTATCCACTTGTGTACTCGTTCACTACAATAAATGTATGGCGCATCGGGAATTAAAAACAGATATCAAAATAATGAATAGCAATTGTGAATAGAGGGAAGAAGAGCCTAGGAAAGAGTTAGTTGGAAATCTTCAGTTGGTGGCCTATGCTCCATGAGGAGTAACAGGTGTAAATAGCGTGTGATTGTGTTTGTTGTACTTCTTGTCAAAGTAGATAAAGTTTTATTATCTGAGAGATGTTTTTACGAGTGCGAATTTGGTTAAGAATATCAGAAAAATGAAATATCTACACTGAAACCAGAATAAGCATGACAAGTTTGATAGACTGTATTGAATTCTCTATAAGGCACTATGTATTAGTATATGTTGCATATCCATGAAACAATAAGTGTATCTTAGGTCAGATCTGAGATCTTCCATAGTTTAGGAGATTATCTGATGATTAAGTGTAACCCTATGTTATCGAAAAGATCGTTGATTGTTATGGGATTGAATTCATGAACTTCAAGTGTCATCGAACAGTACTTTTTTAAATTCAGTTTACTTGACATATATCATAATCCTTATTCGATATAGTATAGTGGTTTAGCATCTCACTTGAAATATATCAGTCACTACAGAGCAATTTGAAGGAATAAACGTTTGAGAAATCCAGTACATTGTTAGTCCCACGTAAGGATGTGATGACTGTTTGTTATGTAACATTGAATTTTGATGAATATTGCATGTGAATGTGAATTTCTACTTGACAAATAATTATACCTACTTAATAGTGAACATATCAATCATAAAGTGTTTTATTTCATTTCCAATGAACTCTTTTGATAAAATGTATTGTAAAAGAGTATCGATGAATTCCTATCCCTCAACAGCGTCAAATATATGCAGCTATCAACTATTTGATCACAGCATCGGAGTCTTGTGTGTTGACAAACACAACTTTAGTTTAAACTTTACTAAAGACTAAGCTTTGAATGAGATAATTGACGGTTTACTGCATAGGACAATAATAAAATCATTGGAGGAATCATAATCTGTTATGATAACACTGAGTTAACAATAATTTATCACCCAGTGTTTAGTGAACAGTGAATAATCCAGTAACGATAGGTAGAAGTGTCTAATTATATATTGATAAGGTGTTCCGACATATCGTTTTTAAACAATAACAGTCGGTAATTCGTAATGATGCATTGCAATAGTGAGACTTCATTAAAATACATATTCACAACGGACCTATTGTTGATTGCAATTATCACAAAATCATGTATACACAATACTACTAATTGTAGAACTAGTCAGTTTCTATTGAATGAAGACAATGACGCAAATATTAAAAACTACCTTCGGTATTTTACCAACAAGATTACATCAATTATTACGTAAACAAGCATAAGAATGTATATAATTCCATAAAAGAAATTGTCCAAATTATTGAAATGAATAAGAAATAGAAACAACACAGTCAGAATAATAAAAACAAGTTATAAGATGTTGCACAACCGATACATACAATAAAGAATGAAACGACTAAAGGTAATGACAACATATAAGTAGTGAGATAATTTGTTCTGTTTCTTCTCTTCAGTGATCCCTGTTGTTGTTTCAATGTGTTCAGTGGATGTTGATGTACTTGAATTGTTAACATTTGAGCTCTTTTGAATAAACAAAACAGTAGCATTTATTGGTAAACACCAAATATTATTCAATTAATCATTATACACCATTGTAAGTAATTATGATAGAAGAGAATTCAACATGTAGTTACATGATATGCACTTGTACAGTCACTTAGAATATCTACTGCCGATTTGATAATCAGTATGTTAAGTACGCACTATGCTACAACTAATTGATGACTCAAAGGTGTGATGAAGTATGTGTTCTAGATGTCACATCTAATCACAATCTAAATATAAATCAATAAACTTATCATTGATACCTTTATTGGAGCAATCCATTCAGGTTATATATTTCTCAACAGAGAATCAGAAATTCTTGTTCCGGACTACAGCAATGGCAGTCTACAAACTCTCACTTATTATCGTTACATGAGACACAATTTTAAACATGTGACGCTTCTTTACTCAAGCTGGTTTCATTGGAATTTTGTAACAATCTACATAAATATATTCGGTTTCATCTTGGATTGACCACACATTCAAGGAGCTGAAAAATTATTATATTTCCGAGCATTGATGTTAAGCGACGCTTTGATCTATTGTTTACTGTTTCCATGGAAAGAAAGCTTGGTACATATATCTGATTAAACATCGTCAACGTATACAAAGTTTTAATTTAGTCACTGAGGGAAGAATACATGTTAGTTCTTATTCGTAGCAATAAAATATTCTTTCCAGTAAATGGTTTTACTCGGAATGTGAAATTTTGGAATATTGAAAACGACCTATGAAGTTTAACAAATACTAACCTTAACACGGCAATCATTTACTTTCAAGTTATGAGTATCCTCATCATTACTATCAATGCATGTGTTAGTTATTTCATACCAAATACATGTTATATTCGATGTTGTTGCATTTTGGTATGCGTCAGTCGAACTGTATTTTGAACAAATTTCTATGAAAAGAATAAAGTGATTTCATTTCAAGTTATTAAACAAAAGAAAAGAGAGTTACAAAACATATAACAATAACCCAACAATTCAGTGGTGGTTTCGGTAATAAGTGACTATTTCATTCACTGGAAAATTATCATCACGATGCATACAAGGCGGCCTGCTTGAGCATCTGGGCTACCTGTTCCTGCCATCTAGATATTTCGACAAGTTATCTATCTTTGTTTGTTTTAATATATCATTATGTCTATTAATCGCACAACCTATTCTGCTGCGTTTCTGAAAAGTGTACAACCTTTCGTTGTCAAAGTTACAAAAAGCTCAAAAAGAGAGAATATTTTTGCTGGCAATATACAACGAAAAGAATGTACATTATTCAGATATTCATTTACTGGACTGTTAACATCTAACAGGCGATCACTCAATATTTATCGCCAGGAACGACCAAGAAGTAAGAAACGGAAACTTGTTGAAATACTTTGTGCTGAGAATTCTATATTGTACCAATAATATAATATTGAATAAAGCTAATAATAATAATAATAATAATAATAATAATAAATAATACAATATCCAGTGCAATAAACACTCATATTTTACGACAGCATGTTTGAATGAAACTAAGTTAAATTTCATGTATGAACGATGAATTACAACAAACAACTTAGGTGGATTGCAATAAGTGTTTACATTCAGACATGTACACACGATACTGTCACTGAGTTCAGCAAAGCATACTGCATTGAATTTTGTTGATTGTACAGTTTCTTTTCGTGATATAAGTTTTGTGGTTAAAATCAGTGCAAGAAAGTCAGTTGTTCTTCATTTCTAGTTATGTTAATTCAGTCGAACAACAAAGGAAGAGTGACAATGTTTTTCCAATCATCAATAACATTTTTGTTGAAAAGATTTCAGTCAACCTACTATGCTAGAAGATATAGAAGTATGTGACTGCATTCTGGTCTGTATGCTGTCAGTTAGTGAATTAGACTAGTTGGATCAGTGAAAGTTCACCGATGATAAAAGTAGTATTTTATTCGACGAACATTGAAGGCGATCTGATCATTAGATCATGAAATGATTCTCTCAGTAGTCGAATTGTTATTTCAATGGTCTAATATATGGTGAACTGAAAATTGTTTGTAGTTATTCAACGTAAATATTCATAAGAAGGAACATATGTTCATACTGCGAAATAAATTTTGAAACGAGCTATGATTAATTGGAGATGTGACTTGTCGATACCTTCAATTTATCGGATATGTATGACATAGAAGAGATTTCGGAAGTTAGGCGATCGTCTTCAAGTGAATCACGATTACATAGAATGTTTTCGTAATTTCAATACCTCAGGAAAATTCGATATCACATACACCAAAAGAAAAACGGACGCTTCCTCGTCAATGTGCGATCAACTAATTGACACTTAATTCTTTTCGAGACTAATATCATCTCAATTGTTGTTTTGTGTCTATATATTTAAGTAAATTTCATCAAAGTAAAGACTTCAATATTAGATAATGAAAATAACCCATAGTGTCATTGAATAAGAAAAAGAGAATTCAGCGAAGGAAATTTTCTTTTCGACGAAATCATTTACTTAAGCTGTACATTCGTATATATAGTTATATGGAAAATGTATGTCTATAGAAGGATAGAATGGATTGTATCACAAAAAATGGATTCGACAATAAATAACAAATGAGGTTAACGTACTAATCAAGGGGTATGGAAGATCAAAATTTAAGGGTCAGATAATAGTCCGATTGACAGATATGAAGAAAAAACGACAAAACAACAAAGGTCATAATAATAGACTGAATAATAATCAAGAAAACTTGTAAAAGGTCATAAGAATAAATGATTAGAGTTTAAAGTGCAAAATAGTGATTTAGAATATAGATAATAATAAAAGTGCATTTAAAAAAACATCTAGAAACATACCCATTAAGGGAATTAGGGCCAAGGAAGGATGAGGGGTTGGACAAATCGTTTCTGCACGCAAAGTTCAGGCTTTAGTATGTGGATTGCCAATGCCTCTGCGGTGCATAAAATATTGATTCGAACCCCCTTCGATTCAGTTCCTTTGACTCTGTAAACTACTTTAAACGAAGAGTCTTTTGGAGCGATATGTCCACAGTTGACTAAGTGCTCCTGTATAGAACTCGTGATTGTTTTTCGCTCCCCTTTCAAGAGCCAAGCCGGATAATGTTCCGAGATGCGTTTGGATAATGATCGCTTTGTGCGGCCTATGTAACATGCCCCATATGAGCAAGTAAATTTATAGATACACATTGAAGTGGCCCAAAGCGAAAGTTTGTCCTTAACACACCCCAGAATGGTAGGTCGGCTAGAGAAGATGATTCGAAGCTTAGCTGTGTGGAATGTTTTATTCAATGATTTCGAAATCCGTTTAGTTAGGATTTCAGCAGCCGTATCTCCCTTAAATTCCATATTCATAAATGGAATTTTTTTCTCTATTGTCAATGCTTTGTCATGAGGTCTAGGTACCAAGTTCCTATCGATGAATCTCGGTGGATAACCATCTTTGATGAGGGTCTGTCGAAGATACGCATATCAAGATTACTGTTTTCAATATAGTCACATAAAAAGCAAATAGTTTCTGTGAGGAGAACATTTGTAAAAAGAGAAGTGACGTCTAATGAGAACATTTTCTTACTGGATACATTGATATTTCTAATGGAGTCGACAAAGTCAAAGGAATCAAGAGAGTTGTGTTTGTTGATATGATTTTTAACAGGTTGTAGAATGTTAACTAACCATTTAGCGATCAAGTGATAGGGATAATTGTTCATATCCAGTATGGGACGTAGTGGAATATTATTCTTATAAACTTTTGGTAGTCCATATAGTCTTGATACAACAGAACCAGATGGTTTGAGGTGTTCATAGAGGTCAAGATTGATAATATCCTCATTCTTTTTTTTCAAAATTTTAATTAGCATTTGTTGTTTTTTTCAGTAGTGTCTTTTTGAACGTTCTCAATAGAGAATTTGACAGAATTAGTACGTTAACCTCATTTGATATTTATTGTTGAATCCATTTTTGTGATACAATCCATTCTATCCTTCTATAGACATACATTTTCCATATAACTATATATACGAATGTACAGCTTAAGTAAATGATTTCGTCGAAAAGAAAATTTCCTTCGCTGAATTCTCTTTTTCTTATTCAATGATACTATGGGTTATTTTAATTATCTGAAAAGTTGCAAGGATCCTGTGACAGTGAAGGAACTCAGTGGGTTTCTTGGTTATTCTATCAAACTTGCTATAGAGAATACTAGACTTCAATGTTAGCTCCAAATTAGTTCTTAATCATTCTTAATATTCAACAAATAATCAGTGTGTAGTTATTAATGGTAAGTGAAACGTCATTTAAAGCAGATGCCTGGATATCATTTAATAGCTGACTACAGTTACACATGGAATTTTTAATTCGATGAAACAAAAGTGATGTATTCAAGTATGAAAATAATTAATACTGGTTAAATAGGGTTTAACGTACTCCCAATAACTTCATACTCCACTAACATGCCACTTTTGATCCAATTTCCAGGAACAGGTATGTCATGGTTAATATTATCTGGTGTGATAAATTGAATAGAAAATGACACTTGAAATTTTGATTTCCTTCTTAAGTATAGCAAGTTGTTTGCATTATTTAAGAAGCAGTATAAATAATAAACTGTAAAATTTCTCATAAACTCCGCTTGGAGCCCCTCTGGGGCTACTGCCAGTCCCAATCCCTGGTAAAGGAGAAGGGTTTGGCATTGGATTAGTGACCCCATCCCGTAGAAAACTAACTCGCTATAAAAACACTAATCAGAAGACAGAATAAAATTCCTCATATTGGATGTAGTGGTGATCATCCAACATCCCCAAAAATTATGGTTTACATCTGTCTGAGTTTCAAAAGGGGTCAATAAACAACCAGTAAGTGGAAAATGAAATCGGTAAATTTGTAACTTGCTTGTAACTTATGGCAACATCGAGACAATCCACAGAGAATGTACATATATCAATAAGAAACTAATTGATTGCAGTCCAAAACACCAATGAAAGGATTCACACAAACAATACAAAAATGAAAATTGTCTTCACTGTTTAAAGAATCAATAATGCATTTCAACCGATCGACAGATACCACCTTATCAAACATTTAGTGCATTCGCTCACATTCAATCATAAAAACACTATCTCACCTGATCATTTACTGTCAGTGCTTGTCTTGAAACTCAGCTTCATCTTTCAACAACGCATGATTATTTCCATGAAGAATGACGATTAAGCATTTTATAAAGGAAATATCAGTTCCAAGTTCCATTCGTTTATTTCTGTTTTGTACAAGACACACTTCCTTTGTATCGAGTAGTGATGTGACTGAGAACTGCAAGTGTGACTGGTCGAACTGTGTGTGTGAGTGAGTGAATAAATAAGTGAATATATTGTCTGTTTAATATTGTCATTCACATATCCTTGTCTCGATCAGTCAATCGGTAACTATAAGCGAGAGACGCCTGTGAATATCCATCCACACTTTTGCGATAAAGACATTCATACATACATCATTCAGAAGATAAAAGTGTTTATTAGTAGCTGTCTACGCAAAATACTTCGAATTCGTTGGTCAGACACTATCAGCAACAACCTACTGTGAGAGAGAACAAACCAGATCCCAGTAGAGGAAGAAATCAGAAAGAAGCGCTGGAAGTGGATGGGACACACATTGAGGAAAGCATCCAACTAAGTTACAAGGCAAGCCCTCGCATGGAATTTTGAAGGCCAAAGTAAGAGAGGAAGACCAAAGAACACATTACGATGAGAAACGGAGACAGACATGAGAAAAATGAACGAAAATTGGATAGAACTGGAAAGGAAGGCCCAGGACAGAGTGGGTTGGAGAATGCTGGTCGGCGGCCTATGCTCCATTAGGAGTAGCAAACGTAAATAATTATTATATTAAGGTATTATATCATTGAGAAGCTGAAGAAACTTTGATTCATGGGATGAAATGTGACCAAGAAAATTCAGTAAGACTTTTAGTTCAAAGAAATTTATTGACTTACAATAATCGTGAATAAGAAATTCATTGACCTGACTATTATAATATTCAAATGAGAATTTCTGTTTAACTACCTAAAAAGATACAAACATATGGATAAGTATCCGTATAGGGGTTGTGGAGATTAATAAGTTTTTGATTGAGATCATGAACTGATTGATGTTAGACCACCATTGGAAACCTGGAGGCACTGGACAGCCGTTTCGTCCTATTGTGGGACTACTCAACAGTGCGCATCCATGATCTCCATCATTGGATTTGAACTCAGGACCTGTCAATGTCGCTCGCGAACGCTTAACTTACCGAACCACTGAGCCGGCATCCAATGGTGTTAGTGCCTAAGTACTTCTATAACAAAAAAGGAAGTCAACTCACATGTTGTTCAGAAAATTTCTTAAATCTACCATTCATAACTGGATGAGATTGATTGAGACTAATTCTCTTTGAATAACTATAATGATGAGACTGAATATGTATATTAGAATCTGATTGATTACTTACATATCGATATGAATTATTTTCAAAAATTACTCTTTTATGGTGGTTTAGTACATTTTGTTCACAGATAGCTATCTTGGCAGTCGAAGAATTCCAAAAGCCAGACAATGATCAAATAAAATGATATTGATGGAACAAATGAAAAATTATATCTAAAATGGTCCAGATGAACAAAACAACCGTATTACGCTGAATCAAACTGAAATTCCTATGACACACTCATTGACTTCGTGTGTTCAATCAACACCCATTTCATCTTTTCATTCAAAGTAGTAAATCAAATTTTCATAGAAATCGTCATGTTTATATAAACTTTGATGATACAAACTGACTATTAACAAGATCAAATTTGATAAAATCGTGTTTATTATTAACCGATCATAGTGGTAGATGAATTCATCGTTATTCAATATTCTTCTAGCTATTGAGAACATGAACTGATATTTATCAACCGTTGGTTGAAATTCTTAACCCCTATTGATGAAAATCCTCTTGGATGTGATTAAGAATACTTTAAACTATGTGATTGGTTAACTTTTAGTTCAAACTGTGTGTTCATGTCTTCTCGAACAAACAATTTGTTGCCTATCAATGGTGCATTGTTCTGATTTGATTGGTTAAAATCATGATAGCACAAACTGTTTTGATTGGATGTCAAAATGTACACTTTTATATTTGAATTTTATTTTAATGAAAAATATTCTGTCAGCTGATTTCATCATCGTTTAATATGAAATTGTAACTTCTGAACAAAGCTATATCCATTCTACTTTTTCCACCATATTATACTACTGACTATTAATAGATGTTCAAATCAGAAGGGATAATAATTCTCCCTATTGATCACGTAGAAATGGAACTTAATGTGTTTGTTCAGTTATGAAGGTTGAAGTTATCAATGATTGTAATAAGACAATGTATTTCATTAAAAGTGAACTGTTGGAAATTGAGAATGATTACTTGAACCAGACACAAATTGTAGTTACAATAGTGATTGTTGTTTCTGAAAACTAATAAATTTGTTAATACACAAGGGGAGGACTGATTTGTATTTAAGTATTTCGGCGAGACTATAATTTATGGACGAACCAACCAGATATAAGATAACGAGTCACGAAGTTGGGCGCGGAATTCACTCATGCATTTGGCTAAATAGAGTGTTGGCATAATAGCTGATGTCATTTTGTGATGAAAACCCTAAGTCTAATTTTTAATCCTAACTATCAACTGTAAATGGGAATTCTAACTGCTTTATAACCCTCATTCAGTCCTAAATAGTAATTGTTCACTCTCAAGGTCATTTCAGCGTCAATCAAATGTCGTCCATAAATTATAGTCTCATTAGTATTTCAATAAGTTATTTCCACATATCATTTGAACTTGTATTAATTGTCATCTGTGTTAAAACATACGAGTAAGTCACTGTGATAAGATGATGTCAAGTGTATATTTAATTCACGCTAAACGTCAAAGATTGATGAACGAATAAAAGTCGACACATTTGTAAATGAATAATGAATTCAGTGAAGCATTTCAGGAATAATTGTGTTTGGGTGATATTTGCAAATAGGTTTTCTCTTGATATAGAAGAGGTGTATTATTTTACTTCAGAAAGATGTCGACAATAATCAACGTAATGTTTCCTCAAGTATCAAAGTCTATAGTCGAATAAATGGTTGTTGTGTAATTTCGTCAATTCATCAACATCAAAATTGTTTTCGACGATACATTGTCTATTCTATGCCGATGACCAGTATCTAATTATAAGAAGAAAACTTATCTGTGTACGTAATAGTGTCAAACAGGTATTGTGTATATGAAGAGCATAATTCAGATTATAAAGTATTCGCTAGAGTGTCTCCTTATATCTACTTGTATATTTTATATATTATTAATAACAAATGTGTTGCAAGTACGCAGTATGATTTACTACATAAAGAAGCTACATGATTTTGAGGTTACGCGAGATTAACTCTTACAACTTATCAATTCTTGCATATAATCTAGTCTATTATCCTTTCATGGATTTTTGAAAGAAAGACTTTGCTGTATTGTGAATAGTACTGAAGGTAGTTAGCAAAGTGTGTCGTGAATCTTTTCAGGTCATTATGAATATGGTTGTGAATAGACATTTAATGTCTTGCCAAAGCCTGACAGGTGTTATCCCTGATACATACTAACCATTCATTTCATTCATATCTTTTGCCTTGTATACTTTCTGGAAGTACATTAGGATCCATGTATGCAAGTAAAAAGATAAAAGCGCTACAATACCTTATCTATAAAATATATAACTAACGAAAATGTGGGGAGTATTATGTGTGAATAAACGAGATTTGATCTGATGTGTACTTTTTATTGTATTATTAACTGGTAAATTGTACTGATGTCAACTGTATAAATTGAAATTTGGTTGAAATTAATTCTAATTTTTATCATGAAATATCTGAATTGACCAGATGAACAAGCTGAACAAGATTAAAAAATTCCTATCCAACTTTACATATATTACTCACTTACTTACTCCTGGTACACCTCTTGAAGAAGCATAGGTCGCCCACCAACATTCTCCATCCAATTCTGTTCTCGGCAATTCTTTGCCGTTGCTATTCATCCTACTGTCTGCTTCCTATTCTCGACGCAGAGTGCTTTTTGGCCTTCCAATTTTTTGTTGCCCTTCAGAATGTCAAGTTATGATTTGCCTCGTAATTCAGTTTGATTGATTTCAGCAAGACTTGTCCTACTTAACCTAAGTGTCTTTTCTATATTTTCTTTTCAGCTGAAAGCTGGTTTGTTCTCTCACACACTAGGGTATTTCTGTTGGTAACCAACGACATAATTATTTGTTTTCTTTATCTGAAACCAGTTGAATTAAACATTCTTCACAAAAATAATTATTTGTCTACACTAAATGAATGACAATCCTAAAGAAGCTGTACATACAACTTCACATTGATTCAATAGTTATGTACATTGATTTTGTGAACTAATGGATCGATTATTCATTTGATAATACAGATACTAATTTTGATCTAGTTCATTGCATTGGAACAACTTTCGATAGATCTCATCACCAACATTCAGCAGCATATGAATGGTTTGCACTATCATTCCCTATCAGGTGTGATTCTGCAATTTCGTTACAGGAAGTGTAAACATTAAATTGATGTTGCAGTTTCAATATACAGTCACGTTTAGACAGTGTGTTTACGAAACAAAATCTGATTATATGTCACTTAATTGTCTTAAACTCTTCGTTAGCATTCCAATCAATTTATGTTATACACAAAACAACTGAATAATGTCGACTGTAAGGAAGTTATATAAAATCACTGTGACAGAAAACAAGGATTATCTGTATTGACATGCTGACAACCGAGTACGAGCAGAAAGTAATAAGAGGTGAACAAAAGACTGTGGACATAGATTACTGTACATCAAAATATTGAAAACATTACTTTGCTCGATTTCCGTTAAATTTTGAAAAGAAGTATTGGAATCATTCCCCACAGTGTGTTCTTATTACCTCAAAACAGATTCAGTTCTATAACCATGAAATCTTTCATCTCAAAAACCATTGCTATTAGTTCAGATTTTGTATTCTAAATGAGTGAGATACCATTATGTGACATGCAAATAACTACACATTTTAAAGTAATCAATGTTTTTATCAATGAATCACTATCAAAAATTTTACAGCGGACTTTTTGAACAGTTTATCTTCAGATGACAAACTTTCGCATACCCGAATTGGAGTGTTCCTCTACAGCACCTCAGTATTCATCATTTGTGTAATAGTGTTCAAACAATGTCATAACTACTCCTTATTAAGACATTATACTTCATTTAATAACTCTCTATCAACTTTATTTATACACTTCCTTCATTGACGTAGTTTATCTCTCAGTTGTCAAATGCAGTGTGTGACAAATTGAATCACACCAATATCATATAATCCATTTGCGTATCACTAAACATTGGGCTCTTTCTATCGTGTGAAATTGAGTTTGTTTAACAGCATCTCTCCCAAATTCTTTTTTACACCTGTCGATCGAAATGAGTTTTTGCATTCATTTCACGATATCAACTGATTCATTATACTTTGGAAAATAAATATTTTTACATTTTTGAAATCAGCAACTCTTGAATTGAAGACTAGTCTCTGCATTCAAAACTGTAATAACTGGAACTGACTGTGATAGAATATAAGTGACAGATGTGAATCCCTTTTCATGTCAACTTCCAATTCCCAACACAGTGTGTTCTTCGGTCCTCCTCTTTCCATTTCCGTTCAGGATTCCAATTTAGAGTTTGCTTTGTGATACAGCTTGATGATTCCCGTAATCTATATCCTCTGGTTTGTTCGCTTCCATAGCAGGTTGTTGCTCAAGGTATCCGAAAAATGATATTAATATTAAAAAATTCTTCTGTACCATTTGTAAAATTATCACCTGATAACTATTAACAAACCCTCAATTTTAATTAATTGTAATATGTAACAATGAGATTTTATATTGAAATAAGCAACTATTCACAATAGAACGTCATAAAGTTGATTCCTTAAAGTGGAAGCATGATTTTATGCTTGAGTATATTTTCGAATCGATTATAATTAATATAGGATTAGCTCTACCATGTAATCTGTACAATAAATTATTATCAGCTTTATTCAATATTATATTTTTGGTACAATATAGAATTCTCAGCACAAAGTATTTCAACAAGTTTCCGTTTCTTTCTTCTTGGTCGTTCCTGGCGATAGATATCGAGTGATCGCCAGTTAGATGTTAGCAGTTCACTAAATGAACATTTGAATAATGTGCATTCTTTCCGTTGTATATTGCCAGCAACCACATTGTCTCTTATTGAGTTTTTTGTAACTTTGACAACTAAAGGTTGTACACTGTTCAGAAATGCACCAGGATAGGTTATGCTATTGATAGATATAATGATATATTAAAACAAACAAAAATAGATAACTTGTTGAAATATTTAGATAGCAGGAACAGGTAGCCCAGATGCTCAAGCAGGTCGCCTTAGTGATGGTTGAGGTTAGACATTAACACCGTTGGATGACGATTAGCTCAGTGGTCTAGAGGTTAAGCGTTCACACGTGAGACTAAAGGCCCTAGGTTCGAATCCAGTGAGCAGAATCTTAGATGTGCACTGTTGAAGAGTCTGACAATTGGACGAAACAGCCGCCTAATGTTTCCAGGTTTCCATTGGTGGTCTAACAATTCAAAAAATATTTTCTTATCATTATGTAAGAAAAACACAAACATTAAGGTCATTCTTTCTATTTGTGTTTCTGTTTTGTACATTGAAATAACCTTAAAACATTATCTCACATAATTCATGAAATTATATAAATTAAATAGAAACATATGTTTTCTTATCTCAGTTAGTAGAATGCTGTTTTTAGGCCATTTTTCTTCGTTTTTTTTCTATATTTAGTTATGATTAAAAAATAAAAATAAAAGAAGAAATGAGAGGGAATTTTCAAATTTTGACTTCTGTCTTACTTATTATTGTTGTAACTATGTTTACCCCAAAAAATAAAAAAATAACAAACAACCATTTCTGATTGGCTAATTATATCTACACTTATTATTGGTTGATATTCATATATATAAATATATTAGTAATCAACTATACTCTTTAAGTTTATATCGAATTACCAATCATAAATAGGATATATATTTGGATCGATGATCATTATCCCTTATTTTTGATAGAAATATAAGGGAAAAGAGAAGAGGGGAGGGGAGGGAAGGGATTAATGTATATCCATATTCTCATAGTTTCTTTGACTATGTAACTTATTTCAAAACTAAGTTGTTATATTGTATGTTGTATAATTAAGTCTATTTTAATCGATAAATAGAAAAATGTTAGTAAATAAAAACCATCTGTTTTATAATTTAGTAGTATTTCTCTTTTGCTCTCTATCACTTTTTTTTTTTAAAAAGAATAATTAAATCACTAAACATGCCTGAAGAAACAGAAGTTAACAATGGGATAACAGAGAATAAAACTGTTGAAACAACAGAATTAATAAAGGAAAATGTGATTGTTTCAGAGAAAGAAATTAAAACTTATAAATGTGTAACTCTTGGAGCATTTGGTGGTTCAAAACATATTAGAATAGATATGAATGAAGTGAAATCAGTAGGGAAAAATGAAGTTGCTATTGATGTACAAGCATGGTAAGTAATTAAATTTTTATATCAGAGTAGTCATTTGAAGAGTTCAAATTTATTTTGATTAATTGATAAGTTTGCTAGTGTAGCAACTGTTAAGTTTTATAGTTTATATCATGAATGGATCTTATTGCAATGATTACTGAGAACTGGGAGACACTGGATAGCTGTTTCGTTTAAGTATAGGGGTTGATCAACAATGCCCGACCGCAATTGGAATAAAATTTGAGACATACAGGTCTCTTAGTGGGGGAATCACTTAGCGTTTGACATGGTTGTAGTCTATTTTTCTGAAATTTAAGCATGTTTATCGATTTTTAATTGATTTGTAGAAACTTTGGTTTTAAATTAGTTGTATTTCCTGTATTTACATACAGTGTCGATATTATTTCTAGAAGAATTTAAGATATATAATATAGTATTGAGGAGATAGCTAATTAGTTAAAACTCTCAATATCTCACCATTAGGTAACAAGTTATATGAGTGTTACATTTACATAACTTTACCAACTCTATGGTTAGATAGAAAAAGTGGCTATGTGAACAGTTCGTGGTAAGAGACTTGAAAAAATGACGATACCCCTATCATTTCATTACAATTGATTGGTTATAGTCTAAGAGATTATCGATCTCAATGATTTGAGTTGTTATCGTAGATAGTTCAAAATAAAAGCCAATGAAAATGATAATGTAGTTTTTAATAAAATTATTTCTCAAAATGAAATGAACTCAGTTAACTAAATGAAGTCTATTTTTTGAGTATACCTTTTAAATCAATTTGTTTAATAAAATTTTCATTGAACTATAAACAATGTATAACTGAATCTGTCATATAAAACGACGGTTGTCGTCAGTCATGGTACATTGAGAAATGTACATATTTAATGAGATCAAGATATTTTCAAGAATGTCTATGAACATTTTTAAATAATGAATATTATTTGTAACGAAATTTATTATTCAGCTTTAGGTAGGTATCATATTTGCTGGGGGAATATGAGAAGTACTAAGTGAGAGGAACTGTAAGAGAAGAGAACTGTAATGAGAAAAAGTAAGCTGACGACACATAGAATGCACTTACCTTTAATAATGAAAGCAATGGGCAACAATTAAAAATGCGGTTTAATATAATCTGATAATTCAAACTAGAATTTGACAGTGTAAAATTTTGGATACTTTACAAAAGCTATACCTTAGATATACAGTAATGTGACATTAGTTTATAAGGATACGTAATAAATGTTTTCGTATAACTATCTTATGACGATAACTATGACCCTGTTGCATTTTACGTTTCGATAATGTAATAAGAAGACGAAGATTATTAGAACTTCTTATAACATTATCGAAATTCATCAAAAGGACTAATTACTTTACATTTTACGTTGTTATAAGTCAATCACAACGCAGATAACGTTCATGAATAATTAACTTTTCAAAAATAAACAATGATTAAGATTAGGAATTGAGGAAAAATGCCGTGAAAATTAACGGATAAATATTTACGCAGTTAAATTCACTTGGTATTGAAATGCAGATACATTCAGCTGATGAGTCCCAAATGGGACGAAACGCGTGTCTTTGATTCCATTGCTAGCCACCATCCATCTTTGCTTCTTTACGCAGTTCATCTTTTTGACTTCAAATCCCAAGTCATTTATAGAAAATGTATAATTTATTTCGGTAAACGTTTATAAATCTCAACAGTCAAGGGAAGTAAAGATTAAATACCATACAATTATCATTAATAGATATGATATAAAGTTTAGTGAATAGACATGTTATGAAAGATATAATATCTGTATATTTGTAAACCAATGTTTTACGTTTCATCAATGAAATTAGAGATAATCTAAATAAAAATTAAAAAGTAATAACGAATACAGTGAGATATTTCACTGCTGTTATAATGACCATACCGATATAGCGAATATTAGAAACATATGTCATACGGAAGTATAATGACTATCACAAATTCCTTACTCAGCACTAGTAACTATCGAATAGTTACCATGTTGAGATTTATTCAGGTCTCTCAAGATTAAGTATCAGATATGTATAACATTAATTAGTATCAAGATATCACTCAATGTACTTACAATAGATAGATAAATTTCAAGTCAAATGATCTTGTTAATGATAGTTTCACACTAGGAATTCTTTGTAGCTACTACCAGGCAATACATCTTTACATGAAAAATGTTGATAGACTTATATATTGAACTACTGAATAGTATTTGTGTTCTTAATCAAACGTGCAGGATCATACAAATATCTTGTATATTATTAATAAATTTTGCATATCGGACATTAAAACTGATATCATTATTTTTGTTGTTATCTAGTAAGAACTAGTAATTTCTATTTTCATAGACTTTTAGATCACGAAATGATCTTAGTTAGACCACCGTTCAAAACCTCGAAGCAATAGACGATCAGTTCGGCCTAGAGCAGGAAATCTCCGCAGTGTATATACACGACTGCACATCTTGAAATGAAATCCAGGATTGTTGATCCCGTATACAAACTCTTAATCTCTAGACCTCTAACCTGGGATTGGGCAGGATTAATGTCTAATGTATCTGACAGGTCAATGTCTCAGACGAGAAGTAGTGGATGTTCAGTGCTAAAAAGTCCCGTATTAAGATGTAATGGCTGTCCAGTGCTCTCAGGTTTTCAGTGGTAGTCTCAGATCAGTTTGGTATATAAATTCTATAGTTTTCACAAAACAACTAAAGTAATAATTTCTGTTTGGTTTAACTTTAAAACTTATTTAGCGGTATCAACTTTCTTGATATAATGACAAGACAAGGTCTTATTGATCAAGCAATGAAACCTCCATTCATTTTGGGATCTGAATGTACTGGAATTATTAGTGAAGTCGGTGAAAAAGTAACATCTTATAAGGTAATGTTGAAATTATTCCATTATTTTTATGAATGAATATAGAAACATTTAGTTTTTAAGATAATTTTAAACTGTAGATTAGTTTAATTTGTTGGTTGTATTCGTCACAGATTGGTTCTAGATGTGTAAGTAAAACAGTTATTATAAATGATGTTAAGAGATCGTCTCTTTATAATGTAAAGTGATTGAAATTAGAATTTCTATTGTTGAATTTAACTTTATTGGTTTTAATAGTTTAGTGTTTATCGCAATACCTGAAGGTTGTAGGTTTAATCCTTGATAGAGTATTTAGTGTTCAACATTGAAGAATTTCATCCTAGGATATAATGAGTATTCAATTTTTAACTGATTTTTAGTGATATCTGAACTAAGATCATTCTGTGATGAATATAGAACTTTCGAATTTTGAGTGTTATCATTATTTTAATTACTTAGTTGGGTCAAATGTAAATTTTAAGAGCACATAATTGATGAGAGGTATTCTACTAGTAATGATTCGTTAATGTACTGCAATAGATCAATCTTTGATATTATTTTTGAATTATGAGGAGTAATTCTATGGTCTAGACTTGAGTTATAAGTTCTTAGTCCATTGGTTATATGGCCAATAATGAAATTCAGGAAGCGTGTGCAGTCTATAGAGACATTCAGCTGACAACTATCCGAAATCAAAATGAAACACGTGTCCTTGATTTCAGTCATAAGTATAAAGTATATGTATAATGAATAAGTATTCCATTTGCTGAACCGGGAATGAAGGTAGATAAAAAGAGAATGAATAGCAATTGTGAATAAAGGGAAGAAGAGCCTAGGGCAGAGTTAGTTGGAAATCTCCAGTTGATGGCCTATGCCCCACGAAGAGTAACAGGTGTAAATAACTTGTGATTGTGTTGTAGTTTTTGTCAAAACAGATAAAGTTTTATTGAGTGAGAGATGTTGTTACGAGTGCGAATTGTATTAAGAATATGAAGATGAGAGGTATCTAGTCTCATTAAATCAATAGATGAAGGCTTAAGTGTGAGCTTTAAAATTGAGGTGTGGGTGCAAACAGTTGAAGAGTCACAAATAGGTTGAAAATGAACGTTCTGAATGCATCAGCTTTTCATACTCATCTATTCTCACTAACTGAAATGTTAAAGATTGTCTGGTCATAATTTTATGTTGCATATCCATGAAAGAAAAAGCGTATCTTAGGTCAGATTTGAGATTTTCTATGGTTTAGGAGGTTATCTGAAGAATAACTGTAACCCTATGTTATCGAAAAGATCGTTGATCGTTATGGGATTGAATTCATGAACTTCAAGTGTCATCGAACAGTACTTTTTTAAATTCAGTTTACTTGACATATATCATAATCCTTATTCGATATAGTATAGTGGTTTAGCATCTCACTTGCAATATATCAGTCACTACAGAGCAATTTGAAGGAATAAACGTTTGAGAAATCCAGTACATTGTTAGTCCCACGTAAGGATGTGATGACTGTTTGTTATGTAACATTGAATTTTGATGAATAATGCATGTGAATGTGAATTTCAACTTACTTTATGATGAACACTTCACTCATAAAGTATTTTATTTATTTCTAATGAACTCGTGATAAGATGTATTGTAAAAGAATATTTTTAGTCTTAAAAATGTAATATTTACAGAAATTGATTTATAATAGACACCAACTATCTATGATCAAATAGTGTTGAATAACTGTTTCACAACAATATAACCTACCAACTAATGTCATATCTGAGATCCGTTACATGCAGATCTTGTGTAATAAACAAAGACTTGGTTGGTTAAGTCAATTTATTTTTTTTTTGTTGGTGTAATATCACATAGTACATTTGTAAAATATGAGAATCAAACAATAATGACATCATTTGCACATCTTCCTTAATTTATCCTTTACATACTTCATTATTCTTTCAATTCTATTTTTATTTTGATCAGTCTCTGTTTACTTCTCTCTTTTCTTTGTTCTCATCTTCTGATGATAAGTAGTCCACTTTCAATTCTTATTACATACTACCTATGTCTATCTAAATGAGTAGCTCACATTACACTACTAGTAAGTAATATTAACAGAAATTAATAAACTGTGAAATACTGAAGCTTTGAACATTAATTAGTAAGTTTTAAGAAGTTTTTTTTAAGTAATCAATGGTAGACCTATTTATAGACGTTAAAGATTTCACCATTCCAATTCTAATATATTTTATTAATGCAAAAATATTTAGTGGGATACATAAACACTTCAGGTTAATGAGATACTTAATGAAAAGTCATTAAAACATTATGAACTACAGAATTCTTATTATAATTTATTATTTTATTGGTTGAATTCATGAATCAATAAAAATTAGACTACCATGGAAAATCTGGAAGTACTGGACGGTTGTTTCGTCCTATTGTGTGTTATTTACATGATGAAATCACTTAGTTTAATGAAAAACTTACAATTTTAATACTGAAAACTTCAAGGTGAATAAAATATTTTTTTCCTTTTGTCTTGTTACTTTGATATAACGTGAATTATTTGACATAAAAACATTACATAATTAAATTTCAATGGTAGTTAATTATTGTTTAAAGAACACTTAATATATAACTAAAGAAAGGGTTTGGACTTGAGAAATTCATCAAAAGAACTGGATAAAATATACCCAATTAGAAACCAAGTTATGAAAAGGTTTGTTTTTATTGGAAAAAGTAGAAAACTCTGTAAGACTTTTTTTGTGATTGGAGAATATTTCACCATGATGGTTGGAGGTAGTCGACTAGAAAACCTGGGACCGGGTTTCGTGCTACTTGGCACTCGTCAGTAAGGTGTACCTTTAATCTTGAGGGAACTGGTACTCCCTGGAGGATTTGATCTCGTGTCACTCAGCTTCACAGTCAGAGACGTTGCCACTGAGCTGTCTGAGCCGTGACCGACCTCCTGTAGGACTGAGATGTGATCGATCATGTTGCAATGCCTTATAAGGACTAGATACGCATGACATTGATCGCCACCCAATGATCAATCAATTGTGATATCTGTTACAAATGTCATCTCAGCGACTTCATTATGTCTTATTTTTTAAGGTTTAGACTCTGTGGAGTAGTCAAGGAGATAGTCAGTTTATCATACAGTGCCAGGATATGAATCAGTTCTCATCAACCTTGTAAGGATTGAAATTTAACAATAGCAGGCTTTATTTGACGACCGGTTAGCGCCATTAAAGCCACGTAATATAGGCCTTGGAAGCATTCCTTTCCTACTTGCGCGTACGTATGGGATTCTTTTCGTAAGTAGAATGCACACATTCGTCATTCCATCAACTTTTTAGCCGCTTTGTAAAACTTGATTGTCTCCTCTCCATTCTTTAGCCCAGCCAAAATTTTTTGACATTGGATAGTTGGAGGTTATACGTAGGAAACCGTCAACCTAATACTCGTACTAACTGCAAATCATCAGCAAGTTTTGTCTGCAATAATGAAAAAACTGGTGAATCCCTTTAGGGTTTCATTCCATTTATTTACTTTGACAGTCTCAGGTATTACTAATAAGAGATAATTACATTGACTGACAGTCAGGTGGTAAACAATCCACTATTCGCCTAGTCTTTAGTGCTAATGAATTGTATCTGTCAACTTAAAATGAGACCACTCTTTTAAGCAACCAGACATCTCGTGAAATGTATTGATATGATTTTGTTTAACCGTTTGTTATGTGCTATGATAGTATAATAATTGAAAAGTTTAGTTTTCAGCCCCATAGTCCATAGGTTCAGTTATTATACCAGTATTATGACTTTATTCTTTACTCATCAAGTATGGTTCATGGCTGAATATATCAATATATAGATTTCTTATTATAAAATAAAATAAATTGATGAACCACATAACCAAAAGGAAACATTTTCGTATTGGTTGTATGATGGAATGCAATATCAAGACAATCCGCACAGGATGCACATATACCAATAAGAAACTAATCAATTGCGGTCTTAAACATCAATGGGAAGATTCAAACAACTAATGCCAAAATAAATTAAACTACACCCCATCGTACAAGCTAATGGCTATCAGGACTCAATATCTAGGTGGATAACGCGATTGTGAACGGTACTGGGTTTAAGTCCCATAGTGAATACCAACTCTGGGATGCAAATGCGTCCAACTGACGAGTCTTTAATGGGACGAAACATGTGTCCTGAATTCTAATGCTAGCCACTATCTATCTTTGCGTAGAATAAAAGGAAACAGTATAAATGCTTTTATTGAAATTCAGAATTATACAGAAGATAGAAGGAATTCATATAATTCTTACTTAAATACTTTATCTAACTCTTTTAAAGGTAATTAAGGGAACTATATATATGAAATATCATTACTTTAATATCGTCAATTTATAAAGATGAAATATATTCATATGTAAAGAAATTAATGTGGTAGCTATTTCACTCCCTTCCTGTTCTGTTTCAGACAGAATAACCAATACAAACCATTATTGTAAAAAGGATTATTCATGAATTAAGGTGATTTATGTTAATATATACATATATCATTTATTTTAGATTTCATCATTCTATATGTTTACTTCCTGTTTTGAGAGTAACCAGCGTTAATATTTACTTTGATCATGGTGATTACATCATATTTAATGAGATAATCAGTAATTACCCTAATTACTTGTCTATGAATTCATTAATTCTATCTATATGGGTCCTGTTACACATAAATAAAAACTTAGATGTAGACTGTATTGACTTTATATCTTTGTAGATGATATGGAAAGAATAACAATTCAATTATAGTGTAGTATACTGTGAATTCAAAATGTTTTACAGCTACTAAGCTGTAGCGTTGAATCACATTAATACCTAAAACCGTTAAGTCAATCATGAGTTATCCAAATCTAGTAAATTCGCTGCATACATTGAGACTAAGACTAGAATATTTTAGTTAAAGATTCCTGAATTATAGCTAATGTTAATTCTTAGCTTTAACTCTTGACGGTTGTCATATTCATCATCAGCTTTATGTGGAGGTGGAATAGTTACTATTTGTTACTCGAAAACTGATGAGTTGAATAAACGTATGCTCCAAAGTGTTATTCAACTGTTTTTATTTCTAAAGGTTTGGACTAAATTTAGAGGAGTTTTTATTGGTGTATGTATAATTTGAGTGGATGCATCTCTACAGACTATTTTTAGTAACATGGTCTAATATTTTTGAATTGTGGCTAGTCTGAGACATTTCACAGATTGTTCAATGAATGAATTTTACAGTACAAAACATATATATTCAGGATTCCCTCGCTAGTCACAATCCAGATTTACAAAACTCTGACTTTTGTGTTGTAAAGACGAAATCCTTTCAGCTGACGCACTTTATTGACATATTCATCATTCACGAGTTTTTTTCCTTATATTGTACACTTCCTAATTACACATGTGATCAGTGAACACCATTTGAAAACTGTAAAATCTATTGATCATTAAGTTGAATGATTGTCTGTCACTCGGTAATGCCGTATAGGATGATGAAGAAAATACCTCAATTCACTAATGAATAGGTTTTCACTGTTGACTATATAATAAACGAAAATGGAATCCAAAACGTGTATTCGTTCATTGCTTGTGTGTTGATATCCCAACAGGATGTTATACCTGGTAGATAATGTCATATTTAGAAATCTGGAGTACTGTTTTTCAATTATTAAATAACTTGTGTATTCATAATACAAAGGGATTTTCGGAAAATATTTAATTCTGTAGCTTACTTTACAGAGTGATTATTGTTACGCAGTTAATCATAACTTAGTAGAACTGTGGTGTGTGCTACTGATATTGACATAAGTAGTAGATGATGTTAGTCGTGAAGAGAAGGTCTGGCAGCAGAGAAACAAGAGGATCGAACAGTAAAGAATGGAAACAGAATGAAATTTGTATGAAAATGAAAGAACAATGAAGTCTGAGTCATTTTGAGACAATTGATGGACATTTTGCAAATTAAGCATTTACTTTATGATTGTTAGATCTTATTAACAAGCCCTGTAATTTTGTGTTAAATACATTCGATTGTTCCCCAATGGTGTTCGTGTTCACTACAGAAATGTACAATTGTGTTGAACTAACATAGGACTCTTCATCCGTGTGTATCTACAACAACATCAATGGAGATCGGACCTAGGACGTGTAGGTCTTGATGTGTGTTCCTATATTTCAAACCACTTAATTGGCCTCTAATGAGTTACCTGACCAACTATAATCCAGTTGTAATATTCTACAAATATCATTGTTCCCCATTACATTTCCGGATCGATACTTCTGAGGAATAATCATACAAAAACGAAATGATCGTCTATCTAATATTATTCAATGGCGTTAACGATAAAATTTTTATTTTTAGATCCAGAGTTAAATTATATTATCAATGGATAAGCTAATGAACGTATTAGAAATATTTAGCTTGAATGAAATGAGATCAATAATCGTCAAATAGCTAAGACAAATCAAAGATTTTCAATCCACTAATATCATACTGTAAAACTATATGAATTTAAAGTGTTTGTCTATCTGTAATAATAAGGAAAATGATAAATGAATGAATAAAAAAAATAGGTGTAAACAGTTCGTTGGAGAATATGATTGATTAGAGTCTTTTAATAACTGAATAAACTTCATCTGATACCGATTACTAACGAGACTATAATTTATGGACGAACCAATTAGATTTAAGATAGCGTATGTTGGATTTTGGCACGAAATTCATTCACTCATTAGGCTAAATACCATTTTGATATTATAGCTAATGTCAATTTGTGATGAAAACATTGAATTTAATTTTTAACGTTCAACTGTAAATCTTAATTGTTATCCATCACATTAATCTATAACCTTCATTTAACCTTAGTAAGGTGGTGGACATTTCAAAGTCATTTTAGTACTGCTCAACGGTCTTCCATAAATTATAGTCTCACAAAAATTTGATGTTCACTTTACATTTTTTATTGAAAAGATAGTACAATCTGACAGATAATCCAAAACACGAAACATTTAGATGTCCGGATTTTGCTTGATTACAACGTATGAAGGTCAAATATACTTACTTCGAAGATTGATTCTCATCATGAAGTAGTCACTTTCAGAATTGATGTAAACCGGATCATCGTATTGTAGTGAACGGGAACACAAGTGAGGACAATCGGATGTATTTTACTAAAAAATTACAGAATTTCTTAATAAAATCTGAGAATCATACAGTAAATACTTCGTTTGCTAAGTGTCAATCAATCGCCTCAGGCTTCATTGTTCTTTCTTTTCCACACCAATGATTCTTTGTTCTCGTTCTTTTTTCTTTGAGCTTCTGCCTCCAGGTATTTCATTTTCGACTGACGATACATACTACTTATATCTGTCGACGTTGGTAGCGCACACCACAGTATATATCTTAGACTGAAATACGTTGATAGAGCACACCATTGAAATTCGAAAAACGAAACTTCCGTTTTCTAAACTATTGATGACACTAGCTTACGGGAACTGTGATGACACCTAGTAGTTAATAAATAAAACATTAGTCATTTATCAACTTTGTCGTGTTGTCAGCGTTCGCTACCGACAAGTCCCTAACTGAAATGGAACATTTGTCTAATACTCACGGATTTTCGTTGGCTCTCTAACTGAATTCACTCCCAATAGAAACTGTATTTTAATGGAACAGTTTTCAAAAATCCTTCATCCTACTACATTTCATCCTTTTTTTAAATTTGTGATTGAATCCTTCTTTAATTTTGTTTCTAGGTTGGTGATCCAGTTATAGTTCTACTTGATAATGGTGCTTGGAGTGAACGTCTTGTATTACCAATTATAGAAAAAGCTAATACTAATCAAACAAATTCAACAACACAATCTGGAGATGTTGAATGTACGGAATCAAATGAATTTGGAAAGATCAAGTCAATTATACTACCAAGACCAAAAACATTAGATGTTAATAGAGCTGCAATTATTAGCTTTGCTTATATTCCAGCTTATATATTAACCTATCATATACTTAATGTTCATTCTGGTGATGTAGTTTTGATATTTTCAGCTGGCGGTGGAGTAGTAAGTAAAATACTAATGTCATTAATCATTATTATAGCGGGAATATAATTTATGAATGAATTAATGACAGATTTAAGATAGATACAATCGGATTTTGGCATGTATGGCTAAGTAGCATCATAGTTGATTTCAATACTAACTCTAATCGCTAACCTAAACTTTTAACTTCTGAACCTAATTCCTCACATTAATTAGGGGCTATACTATTAAATGTTTAAAGCTTTTCTAAGTCACTTTAAGATCACTCAAAGGTCGTCCGTAAGTTATGATTTCACCATTGTTGTTTATTCGTAGGGATTCAAGTATTTGGTTATGGAGCCTTTATTACTAATCTATCTGGAATAACTTCATGCTGCTAAATGACTTAAACAGTCTGTTGATTACATATGCTACCAGTGTAATAATAATTACGTCACAACACGATGTATTATTAGATAAATTTGATTTGTGAATGTACAATAGACTATACATTAAGTACTTGTCGCATATCTTTTTTAATACTGTTTAAAAAGATAGGTGCTACAGAAAACAATTAAATAACTAATTGGTTCAGGATTTAAATGATCCTGTTGTTGATATTTAGAACTGAACTACTGATCAGTTTTGTTGTTATATTTTCATTCTGTGTTGATTGACTCAAAATATTCATTTTTCCATGCTAGTTGGACAGTGACAAACAGTGGAATCCAGGGCAATTCATCTTTTTTTAATACATACTTGTTACAACAAGATTATATTGAGAGAATCTACACATTATTTACATATGATAACGTAGACGGATTAAAATTCAATCCTGATTATCAGAAATAGAATAAATTAAGTCCTTATTAATATTGAAATAAACCCTATACTCGTTGGATAACTGAGTGATTTTCTGAACTCGGCGGCTTAGTGAATAGCTCATTAAACGTTTGAAATGAAAGACACTAGGTTCTAATTCCTATATGAACATTAATCTATCAACTACATCTAGATGATAAGTCCCAAATATGATGAAAATCTTCCTATTAAGGTACAAATCATAAGTGATACCTTAAAATTATATTAGAAACTTAATATAATTTCAATAGTTATGATCATGAGTCAATTGAAGCTAGACCATCATGGAAAATCTGAAAGCACTAAACGGCTGTTTCGTCCTATTATGGGACTTCTCAGCAGTACGCATCCACGACCCCGCCCCACGGGACCTAGTTTCACCTTCAAATGACTCATGATCTAAACTACTGAATTTACTATAATGTCCACAAAACCCCTTCTGATATTTCTCAATGTTGCTGTTTTATTTTATTTTTTAAAATGATAATTTCCTATTTTAAAAAATTATTTGTTATTTTATTTATTCAAACAGGGAACTGCTTTAGGACAATTAATGAAACTTATACCAAATGTAACTTTAATTGGTATTGCCTCTAAGGCAAAACATGAAAAGTTGACAAAAATCTATGATATACTGTTAGAACCTGATCAAGATTGTGTAACAGAAATTAAAAAGTTAGTGAGTTTCATTAATTAGTTCTTATGTTATTGTTATCGACTGAATTGCAAGTGTATATTACTCTATCTAAGTAACGAAATGGTTTTCAGTAGCAATATGGTGTAGTGTAAGTTACTAGATATCCCACTCGAAGGAAATTTAGTAAGGACCGTTAAGAATTGTTGTTTTTTAATCATATCTACAAGTCACAAACTTTCAAAACTTATGTTTTGAATTCTAATACTGTTTATTCTACATTAGCATCTGTATGATCTCACTATCCTTAACATAACACTTCTTGATCAAGTGAACTACATGAATCTGTACATCGTTGGTAAATTGAAATGAAATAATAGTTTAATATAGAGTAGATGGATTGTATGTAATTTTGAAATTCATCATATTTGAGATGGCACTCGGTTCGAGTCCTATAGCAAACATTAACTCTAGGATTTGGAAGGTACATTTAACTGACGAGCCATGCATTATTCATTCCACTGGAAGCTAAATTATATTTATTCTATACAAACGTGTACCATAGTGACTATATTGAAGCGATCCACACTGAATGCACATATGTCAACAGTTTTTAATAGCTTCAGTCATCATTTAACACTTAATGAACTAAAGTGTGTTTCGGATTCGATTGATTTAACCTACGATCATCCTTTACAGTTATCTAAAAGTTAATACTTTTATTGATGTCGGTTCATGAATAACATTTAAATCATATTCATACTTGTTTAACGTTGCACAATTTGTTCTTTAAATGATAGCTAATATAACTCATGTATAACTCGATGTGTTTTTAATTGTTCGAGGTACTCAAATCATTTGAACTAGTATTAACATTGCTACTTGATCAATAAAATCCAATCAGCAGTGTGGAGTGATAAAGGATTATATTAGTTACTGGTAAGTAGTCAGTGGTGACCCAAATAGGTCACTGATAACATTTCAGATCGTGATACTTGACGAAGGAATCATCATATCACTGTGGATTGTAGTAATTTCCTCATGATAATCTAGACTCAGTAGCTAAGTGGATAACACGATGACATTTGAATCAAACGGTACTGGATTCGAGTTCCGGATTAAATATAAACTCTGTAATGAGAGTAAATCCATTAAGACGAATTCCAAATAGAACGAAACGTTCGTTCTGAATTCGACTGCTAGGCATCATCGATCTCAGCTTATAATGAACTTCAAATATTAGAATTGTAATGAGACAATAGAAAGCCAATAAATATAGCTAGTTTCCGCAATTGTTATGTCCCTGATCTGTCTACTTACTTTCTGTAGAGGATAACTTGTCTAGTCTAGGTTAAGACCTTGACGCAATAGGTTTACTGGCTTAACTTTGAGACTAGTATACGTGAGTTCGAAGTGAAATGAACTGTTTAGAGTAGAGAGACGAAAACTATCCTATCACCTGATTGGCTGACAAGCACGTGAGTAAGAGAAGACGAGTCAACTGGAACACTACACAATTTATTCTCAATTACGATATAGTTCCCAATTTCAGATTATTGCAAAAAGATACGTAAATAAATAGATGACTAAATAGACCACAACGCACAATAATTAGGAAAATACAATTATGTGCAAAATTGGGGATTAGCGTAGAAAATAGAGTACGAAATATCTCCTTTAAATTGCAGTAGCTTTGGAACAGAAAAGGCTATGGCAGTGAATCATATATCAAACGAAAGCTTATAATCTGTAGAATAGACTAGGAAAAAAATCTCACTGTTTTACAAGCTTTGAATTAAATGAAATAACGTCCCCCTAAAAAATAACTTCCATAGTTTGTCAACGTTTCTTATTTCTCTGTTCACATCAGCAATAAATATTGATCAAAGTAAATAAATACATTTTTATGAATCCTTTCACGTATGAAATTTATATGTTTGTACAAAATAAATAATGAGAGAGCTTGTATTAGAAATTACTATTTTCTTCATATGTGTTTTCTTTTGTCTGCTCATATTCTATTCAATAGACTTTATCCTAATGGAATTGATGCAATTTTGGATTGTATAAGTGGACCAGATACAAATAAATTGTATGGTATATTAAAACCATTAGGAAAGCATGTCATTTATGGTAAATTGATTTATTATTTTATAATACTTTTTATTAAAGTTAAAGTTGTTATATCCTAGCGAAGAATAAATTACGAATAACTTCTGTGACCTATTAATGGACTAATATTATCTGTATATTCTTATGGTATAACTTCAGTATTTAGATTATGCATATCTATATTCCTCTTATTATAAGCTTCATTTTGACCCATGAATTATTATTATTATACGGTTTATTGTTCTTATGTTCAGTTTATTAAGTAGAGTCTCCCACGTTCACAACCACATTTTGGCTTTATTGTGTATCAATGTTATTTCTTATTTTATGGTGCATTTCAGTCTGTCTAGTTGACATATAAACCCAGTATGTTTGAAATAAATAAAACGAATCGCATAATGGAAGCTGTTATTGGCATTCTGGACTGAGCTGGACGGACTAGACGAGCAACAGACCGATAGGATGATCAAATCGGATGTACATCATTGGTTTTGTACAGTAGTAAGATTGAATAAGTCGTATGTCAGTTGGCGAATAAATGACGTAATAACTAGCGGGACATAAAGTCATAGCAAAATTATCTTTCGATTTGATTTAGTTGAAAAGGTTTCTCTTCTTCTTTTCGGATTAGAATCATTAATTAAATTAAATTACATAGACGATATTAAATGATTGGTAATTCGTAATCTTATCTTTCATTAATCAAAATAATTCTGATATAAAGAAAGAATTTTCTGGTACATAAAGCATGGAATTTATATGAATAATTATTAATATTTTATTAAAGAGTTTCGACAAAAACTGACTCCTGAGTATAGAGAAGATATGATTTATGAAAAGCTAACTTAAACTGACAGTTACTATGGTGTATGCTTTTGATATTGATACATATAAGTAGTATGTATCATCAATCGAAAGAGAAATATCTGGAGGTAGAATATTGAGAAGAATGAGAGCAAAGAATGATTGCTGTAGAAATGAAGGAAAAAGGACGAAACGGCCGTCCAGTGCTTCCAGGTTTTCCATGGTGGTCTAGCTTCAACTGAATCATGATCTTAACCATTGAAATTATTATAATCTCCACAAAACTCGTCTGAAAAACTTATAACTCAAACACATATCGTTTTCTTCTTTAATAATGTTTATCAAAGATGTATATGAAAGAATTTTTAAAACGAACTTTACTAAGTTATATTCAAACATATTTAACTAAATAAGAACAGATATATCTGACATTATATAAAATAATAATGTTCGATAACAAGATGGAAATGAATAAGATTCATTTTAAATGTCACAATGTAAATGAAAGACAGGTATTGTCTAGCAATAGAATCTTATTAAAAACTATTCAATAGGATGAAATTGGATTATTACAGTGTTGATATTTATACTGACGTTCAAAATCAATTGCTATCACTTCAAACACAAAAGAAGTTTGATGAATAAATCTCATTTACACAAGAAAACTATTTTTTTCCTTCAATTCTGAAGAGCCATTGGTTGGAAAGTGCTGAGAGGGGGAGCGGCTTATGCTCCTACATGAAGAGTAACATACATAAGTGATTAATTAAGTGGGTAAGTAAATGGTTCTGGTGTAGTGAACAAGAACAAAATCGGGGACAATCAAATGTATGTGAATACAAAATTACAGAATCTTTTGGTAAAATCTGAGAACCATAAAGTAAATACGTTATTTGCAAAATGTCAATCAATTGTCTCAAACTTGACTGTTCCTTTTTCAGCAAGTGTCAATCAACAATATCAGACTTCAGTGTTCTTTGGATCCCACAACAATCATTCTTTGTTCTTGTTCTCATTTCTTTGATTTGTTTAACATTCTGCAACCAGACACTTCACTTTTGGTTGATGATACATACTACTTATATCTGTTGACATCAGTAGCATACACCGCATTGGTATTTGGGGGACTTTAAGCTAAATAAATATCGATAAACAATTAATAGCACACTCAAAACTACTGAAAACCATTGATTCTTTCCTGTCATTATGAATTGTTTAAACCATAGATAACATGAGAATTCGAATGCGAACTGTCATATAGGATATCTGATTTCCTTTTTTTGCTTTACAAAGGTATGTCAAACTTAGTCACTGGAGACAGGAAAAACTTTTTAAACTTAGCAAAACATGTAAGTTTGTTTCACTATTGACAATTTGAATGATTTTATAAAGAGACGGATGTTTATGTAATAGACATTTCCTCTTAGTCAACCTTAAATAAAGTCAGGATGATTTGAAAATGTTAAATTAACAAATATACAAATGAAGAATTTTTTTCCTCAATTCAATTCACACCAAGTTTGCTAGCGTTAAATAAACTGAAGTTATTAACATATAGAAAAAATTTATGTATTTGTCACAGTGAATTGTCTCACATAACCAAGACATATAGATTAAGTTATTTGAATCGGTTAAGAGTTCGCGTGAGAGATCGAATGCCCTGGGTTCGAATCTCGAGAGCAAGATCGTGGATGTGCACTGCTGAGGAGTCCTACAATAGAACGAAACGACCGTCCAGTGCTCCCAAGTTTTCAATGGTGGTCTAACATCAATTGGTTCATGATCTCATTCAAAAAAATATTTGAATCGGAGTTTGATCATTACTAAGATGGGGCTGAATAAAATGTTTTATAAATAAAGAGCTATGTTTTAATGAATTGTTTTTCTTATAGAAATTTGTACAATTCACTAAACACCTATCTGATTTTACTATTTTTTATTTTTAATACTTTTACATTTTGAGTTGAACATTTGTCTAAGTTGTTTTGTATGTTCATTTAACCGACAAACTGTCAGCTAATCATAATCTACAGAAAATCTAGTTGTAAATATAGGACTGTGGAGATTGAAATCATGGACCGACCAGTGTTATATCACCATTGACAATCAGAAAGCACTAAACGACCGATTTGTTGTGGTATGGAATCGTCAAGTGATGCGCAATCACTACTCCCCATGTGGAGTTGAACCCAGGATCTTCTAGTACAAATGTACATCTGCTCGTATTGCTGCACTGCAACAACACAGCTTGACAGAATTATCAAGATGAAAATCAAAATAATAAGAATAGTTGTAATAATAATAATAATAATAATAGCCGTTAGCATTTCCGGTACAGAGAATATGGTTAGAGAACGAAAAATAAACTCGTGAAATAAAAGGGATATAAGGTGATTCTAAAACTCTGGATCTAAAGGGTGATATCTGGTGAATCCACCTGCACCATTTTAACCTTTTCTGAGACATATCAGCCAACACCCCCCACGATAATCGTGGATATCTCAACTAAATCGTCTTTACCTATGAATATGGCTCGTTTAGTTAGTGGTATTGCGGACTGATGTAACGTCTTGGTTTCGACACCTTCTAGTACTCTAAACTGCATTTTTCATATTGAAAAATGTGATTGTTGTGTATATAAGTAATATGCATCCTGTCAATCTCAGTTGCTGTACATTAAAAATCTTTACATAAGTCATTTCGACAATTACAAAATGCAGTAAGTGAACCTATTTTGATTAAACAGTCCTAAATTTATAATCTGTAATGTTGAAAAGTCTATTTGCACTAGACTTGACTATTCCACTGGATCATTAATTTGATCTTATTACTGTAAGATCCGATCAGAATTTACTGATGTAAAAAGTTTTCATCTGAATATCTGTCCTTTGATAAACAGAGGATTAAATTTCTGAAAGTCTATTTTTTAACAAACTGAATAATGTAGAATAGATAGAATGTGGCTAGCAATGGAATCCAGGACTCCCATTTCCTTTTATTTGATACTCATCAGCTGGATATGTTTGAACCCCAGAGTTGATCTTCACTCCCTGACTGGAGACTAGTACCGCTGTCTCTTAACCCTATCACGTTATCAACTTAGCAACTGAGTCCAGATGGCCACTCACTTGTATAACGAAAAGAAACGTGTATTCTAGATTCTACTCCAAGGCACATTCCATCTATTTTATATTAAAACTTGTGTCAAAATGACTACATCGAGGCAATGTGCATCAGATGCACATATCCCAACGAAAATTAATCATATTTCAGTCAAAATATCAACATCAGATTAATCCACTCTATTTAGAATTGAATTAAGTCTGACTAATGGTTATAATTTTCGCATTAAAAAAATGTTCATGTTAATAATTACCTATATGGAGTTCAAAATTTGGTTCGAGGAATAATAACAGTTACCTAGTTTTTCTAATAAATTCTTACTTACTTACTTAATTACGCCTGTTACTCCCAATATTAAATTATAACTTGTTTGGATGATATCAACTTATCTATAAATACAAACTGAATTATATCAGAAGGGATTTTGTGGAGATTTTAGTAATTTCAATGGTTGAGATCATGAGTCAATAGAAGCTACATCACCAGTGTTTCCAGGTTTTCCATGGTAGTCTAGCTTCAATTGACTAATGATCTCAACCATTGAAACAAACTAAATTACTTATGACAGTGCGATATCAATAACTTAAAGGAAACGGTGGGGTTTTTCTCTAAATTTTCAGCTACTGCTATACTTACCACTTTCTACCAAGAAACTAAGATTAAACTATAAATAATAATTACACTTATTACAGTATTACGCTACTTGGAAACTTTTAAAGTAGTATGCAACTCCCAGTTCATTTAATGTAATCTATTATGGTGTTTTCGCAAATAGTAAGGAATATATGCCTTATATAATTAGTATCATTTTAAAGCGGAACTAATCAAGAGTGATGACTTTTAAATGTGAATTACAAACGCTCTGGTACGGCCGAGAGTGGGGAGAACCAGCTCTCCGTCTCGAAATGCTCTCACATAGCCTCGTACATACAACCCCTGCCTTCTTACTGCCTTTTCGCGGCGGGGGTGTTGTTTACGAGATTTAGAGGACTGGAAGCGAATGTCCAGTGCTTGAACCAGGTTGGTGGACACGTACGGTTCACCTAGGGGAGTTGGAAAACCCTGATTCAAATCCATTCGTGCACATGGGCTCTAGTACTCTGAGGGAACAAGTGGCATATAAACCATAGGACTGCGTCTCCTGACGTTGCTACACTGCCTTGTGGATCAGACCTTTAGGTCAAAGGCTCCGGGTGTGGCCCCCTAAGAAAACCACCTGCTTCGGTTTGGGCACCCGAGCAGTATCTTAGACCTCACACAAATCGAATTATTTATGTGGCACATATATATTTGGTGCCTCCGTGTACCAATGTTTATGTGTTTAAATAAATAAATGATGAATAATTCACTGATCTGATGTTATCATTTTTAATGTCCAGTAACATTTTAACGTTTATAACGGTTTAAAGAACAACTGAAATGTTTAAGTAATCAATTGTCTAAGTCCTTAAATTGCAAATTTAATATTTTGAAACTGATGAAAGTAAGTAGACATTTTCCGTCTTATAATAAATATCAGTATACGGAGCAAATAACATATCATTTCTTTGAAATTTTGCAAAAGTAAAAACATAGATGAAGATAATTTTTATAGTAACCGATGTAATATTACAGAGCTATTGATGTTAACCGAATTCTATCGAATTCCACAAGAAGAATCATCTTTGTTAACATTACATACATATCTTAATAATGACAACCAACTGGTAAGAAATTTAAATCCAAGTGGATTCTATCTGTTTCATCCAACTATCCAAATTAAATTCCTAGTACATCTATACATCAAGTCACTTAGATTATATTTCAACAAGATCGGCGTAATTTTATCAATATCAGGGATTACAAAAGCCATGATACAAATATATGTTTTTGGTAGTGATGTATTTTGCAAACGATGATTTAATTGTAAAGCTTTCATTGTCGTTCTGGATAACATAGTTAGCGTCTACCCCAAGTGAAATTATTCTATATGATGATGTTATCAAGAGCAACAGTATAAAGCTTTGACATCAAACAGTTTTGCTCACAGAACACAATACCATCAAAGAGATCCATCTGAGTTGCAAATCTTGTTCATCACATTGATTAATATATTAAGGAATTCCGAAATAATTCATTTTAATTCGTTTTTGTGTTGGTTGTTTGAATATTCCTATCGATATTTAGGACTGCATTTGATCAGTCTCTCATAGGCATATGCGCATCCTGTGCGAATCGCCTTGATATTGTCACAAGCAATATAAGCAAAGGTGGATGGCAACTAGCGGTGGGATTCGGGAGTCTCGGAGTCAACATCAATTCTATGGCTCGAGTAAATCCAGCTGACAAGTCCCAAATAAGACGAAACGCGTGTCTTGGATTCCACTGCTAGCCACCATCTATCTTTGCTTAGAAAAAGTTCATTGTTTCATTTTACTAATTTTTTCTTACTAAATTCTTTTTATTATTTCAGTGGTTTCATATAGAACGTATTAATCCGTTGAAATTACACGATGAAAATTTACTGTTAGGTGGATTTTCATTAAAATCACTTCTCTTCTCTCGTGATCCTAATCAAACAGAAACGAATAAATTAATTATTGACGTATGGAATGAATTAACAAAATTAATCGATAGTCAAAAAATTGATCCAATAGTTGATAGTCAGTGGTATTTAGATGAGGTAAGAAGCAATAAACAATGGTTGTTTATAATGAATTCTTTAAATGGTTATAACAATTTATTGGTTGAATTCATGAGTCCATTGAAGCTAGACCATCATGGAAAACCTGAAAGCCCTGGACGGTCGTTTCGTTGGACGGTGGCGCAACTTCATGGATTGATTGAAGTTAGACATGAATACCATTCGATGCTGGCTCAGTGACCTAGTGGTCAAGCGCCCGCGCATGAGATTGATTGGTTCTAGGTTCGAGCCCTGCGAGGTGGAATCGTGGATGCGCACTGCTGAGGAATCCCATACTAGGACAAAACGCCCGTTCAGTGCATTCAAGTTTCCCATTGTGGTCTAGCTTTAATCGACACATAAATTCAACCATTGAATTACTATAATGTCCACAAAAACTCTTTTTTGATTATATTAATTGTTATAAATAACTTACTTATTTACGCCTGTTACCTCTCTTAGATGAGCATAAGCTACCCACTAGAAGTGTATTCTTTAGCCTTCATCTATTCCGTTTTACTTCAGAATGATTTCCACAATGGGTATCTTATCTACTTCAACCGTCTTTTTTTAATTACCTTTTCAACTGGAAGCTACTTTGTTCTCTCCGATTGTAGTTTGTTGCTAATGGTATCTGTCATAGATAAGATACCTATTTCATTCCTTCTAATTTAATAGTAAATTGATTCAATTATTTACCTTCAGTTTTGATTTGAAAATAGCATTTTATTAACTTGATATTTATTCAGGCGTGATTATGCGTATCAAAAAAAGTAACTTATATCTAGTCAACTATTTATAAAAAGTAGTTTTGAAGTGGTTTTATTTGATAACGACTGAAAAACTTTTGTTTAAAAGATTAAGGAAACTAAAACAGTCAATAGTTAATGTACATTGGTTGAAAAGCTAACTTAAATAGACTATGATTATTAATAAGTAGAGATGTAGATGACTAGCAATGAGATCTAGGATGCATGTTTCATCCTAGTTGGGACTCGTCAGCTGGAGTTGGTATTCATTCCAAAACTTGAACTGAATACCGTTCATTTCAAATACCATCGAGTTATCCACTTAATTATTGAGTTCAGGTAACCACTAACCTGTTTAATGGAATAAAGTTTAATTCATTTTTGTATTGATTATTTGAATTTGACTAATTGCATTCCTAAACATGAATATGATGATCCAAATAACCAACACAAAAACATGGTTATTATAGTTAAAGCTTTAAGTTATCTATGGTAAGTAGATCTTGATTATTTTTAACTATGGTAAAATTCTGTAACGCACATATATATTATAAAGCTCCATACATCTTGGAGATTGGTAAAATTAAAAATACATCGAGAGTAATATATATGTTTCTAATGACACTTGATAATTGTCGAATTATTACTATTCAAAGATGGATTAGTGGTTCTAATGGCAAAGTGTTCACTTTAACACTTGAAGATCCTGGGTTAGATCCCAGGTAACGTCATGAGTGCATACTTCTTAGTTCTATGATATTTCAGATGTATTATATTTATTTCAAACGTAACCTATGTATTGGAAAGATGAAGTTTATTAATCATCAGTACAGGGTCGTGGAGATTCTTACGTTTTGACTTAGATCATGAATTGATCAATGTTAGACCACCACTGGTAACCTGCAAGCAATTGATGGTCATTTCGTCCTAGCATAGGACTACTCAGCAGTGCATAATCATGATCCTGAGCACGGGATTCGAACCCGGGACATTCGGTTTCATTCGTGAATGCTTAACCTCAAGGCCATTGAGACGGTATCTAACGATGTTAAGGTCTAACTTCAATCAATCTACGGTATTGCGCAACCATCTTTGATTGTTTTCTATAGAACACTTTGGTAATAAACACTTTAAAACATTAATAGAGCAAACGATTATCACTGAAATGTTTATGAGAAATTATGCAAAACAAATGGATACTAAAAAATTGTTTTCTTTTTTAAACAGGACTCCTTAGTATTCTACACGAAGGACTAGACTAAATGTTATTACTATGACTAATAGTCTCATTTTCGATACAGATGGATACCACTGGTCATGTTTTCCTAATTGTCTTAAAGAAATTCTTCCCCCAAATGCCCTGGTACGGCCGAGAGTGCGGAGAGTCCGCTCTCCCTCTCGAAATGCCCACACATGGCCACGTGTATATAGCCTCTGCAAGGGAAGTCCTAATCACTGCCTTCTCGTGGAGGGGGTATTGTTTACGAAATTAAGAGGACGAAAAGCAAATGTTCGACGCTTTAACCGGGTTGGTGGACATGGAGAGTCCACCTAGGGGAGTTGGAAAACCCTGATTCCAAACCAATGGTGCACATGGGCTCCAGTATCCCTCGAAAACAAATGGCGTATGAACCAATTGTTTGTCACCGGTTTCCATGGGACTGCATCTCCTTACGATGCTCCACTGCCTTGTGGATCAGACCTTCAGATCGAAGGCTCCGCGTGTGGCCCCCTAAGGAAACCACCTGCTTTGTTTTTGGCACCTGGGCAGTATCACAGCCCTCACACATATCAAGTGAGATCTGCGTGGCGCATATGTATTTGGTGCCTCCTTGTACCAATATCTGTGTGTTAAAATAAATAATAAATAAACAATAATTCTTCCCAATATTACTGATTATTTGAGCGAATGATTAATATTGTTAGTTACTGAATATTGTTTGATTTTAATACATAAACTCTTGTAGATCATTTGATGTTTATCAACCGATAAACTAGATTAATTTAGTTCATAAAACTCAAATAATCAGTTAATCAAGATTGTTTCTTTTGATTGATTGAATAATTTCAAGTTTATTTGATTGTTTTGGAATAGGATTTGGACTGTTTACAAAGCTACTGTTTGAATTTTGATTTTTGATTTCATCGGAAAAAGACTTCATTAAGGATGTTCTAGTTCTTATTAACTTGGTTAACAAAAGAGGTTTACTTTAATTTTCATTTATATCTTTCATGAAATATCTTAGTGCAAGTTGTTTTTAAAATGATATGTCTTTCTAATTGCAGACTAAAGAGGCTATGATGCGTTTACAAGAAAGGAAGAATATCGGTAAAGTTGTTTTAATCCCTAAACTGAAGGAAAAAGATGTAAGTTTACTGAAAGTTTTCTTCATCCTATTTATTTATATGGGTAATATGTCACATTGACCATTTGGTACTTAAATCATATTTAGTATATTCATAAGATTATGCTATTTAAAAATATTAATAAGCTTTTCTCAGTTAGTTATCTTAGAAGCTACAGTGATTCATCTGTGATAACATTTATTTATAGATGATACCTATTAGTGAGGTTATATGGAGATCGTTGGATTTCATAGTTTACATCATCTTAGTTAAACAACCAGTGAAAGCCACAGGTTTCATTTTAGTACAGGACTACTCAATGCTGTCCATGCATAACAATATCATTGTAGAGCGAACTCAGGACGTTCAGACCACTGTAGGCAATTAGTCACTGATGTCATCGTAAGATGCGTGTATAATGCCGGGGACTGAGTAAGGTAAACATGCAAACCAGTAGTTGACATGATTCATGATACTGACACTAGACTTGTTACGTGGTAATCCAATATTATAGACAAAATACTAGTCACTAAACTCTTCAGTACATTTGAAGAAAATTAACTGTGTATTTACTTCCGAGAAACGAAAGTAAATAAGTTTTTCCAATTGGTGAAACAGTAGATTCTATAAGTAATTTTCTAATATTTAGATACAAGATGGTATGTTTAAATCGATTGAATGAGATATAGCTGGTAACGGAATTCATAACTGGGGTCTAGTTAGTGGTTATCTCGATTAAGAAGCTAATTGGATAATGTGTTAGTGTCGATATCAAAAGCAACTGATTTTAAGTCCCGGAACGAACATCAATCGTGAGATTCAGATACACCTAACTAATAAGTTCCAAAAAGGACGAAACGTGCGTTCATAATTCCAAACCTAAACATAATTCCTCTATTCTATATCAACTTGAGTCGTATTAGCTAATATCCAGTCAATCCACATTGGATACGCATATACCAACCAAGACTGATCAAACTTCAGACAAAATATCAACATGAGAATAATTCAATCTGTATAAGAATCATTTAATTGTGGTTGATTGGTATGTCAATGATAAATCTCACTGTTATGGAAAACATGTGTTTAAATTGGAATATATATACCACGTACCTGGATTAAATCTTAAGTACTTGATGTAATTCTAATTTCAGGCTGAAGAAGCGGTTGAAAATACTGAGAAGCCGACAACAGATGAAACATCAACAAATTCAACAGCTAAATAGTCAGTTTCTTATGAATTACTACATAAACAAAAAAAACAGACTGCTTGATTTATTATTTGTTTTGTCTTCCTGTCATAACTTGTGTTGCCATTTATGTGATGTTTGTTTTAATGATCACTTCATCAGAAGATAAACTCCATATTTCAACAACAACAACAAAGAAGAGGAAGAACAAATAAATGTGACTAATGAATGTTCCATAGAGATGAAGTTTTCATAAAGTCATTTCCACTTATCTTTTCATCTTTTTTTGTTTGTTGATATATGTTGTGAAGAGCTATTAGTTGATACCAGCATATAAACAACATTTTTATCGCATGTCAACATATGATTTTTCTATTGAAAACTATTCATTTTGTGTTTTGTTCTGGTTCCGCTTTTTTTTGTTTTTTTTTTGTTTTGAATAAACAAAAATATCGATTTGTCATTTTCAATGTTCAATGTGATGTGATATTAGTCATTTTGTTGTTTTTCATCGGTTTTCTTTTTTCTTTTCTTTTTTTTCTATTTTTATTTTCATTGATTTATTTGTTTAAATTGGGTTATATTTGTTGATTAATAATGGAAATGAAATTTTTGTGTTTGTTTATTTGTTTTGTTTGTTTTTGGTTTTACATTTACTTTATAGTCAATATCACTATCGTTATTATTGTTATCATTAAAATGAATGTTATAATGTTACAGATTTTCTAGATAACTACATTCTTATATGTGACTGTTCCATTGAAACTAGTATCCTCTTGTTAAGTACAATCATGAAACTAATAGTTTCTAAGTAAAAACAAATGAATATGTGCTATGACTGATATAAATCGAGTTTGATTTAATTTGATGTAAGTAATGAGAAGAAGAACTTTTGAATAGATTAGCCGAACTGAATCTAATGAATATCGAAGCTACAATTATAAACCTTCTTATAAATGTTATCACATTAACAATCGAAAACATTAGCATGTAAATCAGACAAATCAAGAGTGGGAAAGCGGTGTGACTAAATAGAATACCATATGAAGCACTGAAATCGGACATAAAATCAACTACAATCTTGTTGCACATTTTATTCAGAAAGGTTTGAGAGGAGTAACAAGTGTCTACAGACTAGAAAGAAGGACGCCTCGTCAATTTATCAAAGAAAGGAGATCTGAGCAAATGTGAGAACTACTACTGTCAGTAACAGGAAGGATTTTCAACTGAGTGTTAGTGAACCGGATTAAAGACTAAGTAGACGACTAACTCAGAGATCAACAAACCCGATTCCGTAAGAAGCAGTCGTGCACAGACCAATTCACGACGCTACAGATCATCGTTGAACAACCAGTTGAATGGAACTCGTCATGGTACGTCAATTTCCTCAATTATGAGAAGGCGTTTGATAGAGTGGATGGGACAACATTATAGAGATTTCTTCGACACTATGGAGTGAGTAGCTGGGAATATCGTCAACATCATCCGAAGTTCGTGAGACGAACTACACTGCTAAGTGGTGCATAGGGGACAGCTAACATACACATTCCAAGTGAGGACCGCAGGCAGACAAGACACCTTACTCTCCCCCTTTCTCTTTCTTATGGTGGTTGACTGGATTATGAAGAGTTAGATATCTGAGTGGATACATGGAATATAATAGACAGCTTAGAATCAATTAAAAGATTTGGACTTTGCAGATGATCTGGTTCTTCTGTCCCATACACGCGAACAAAGGCAGATGAAGACAACTAGTGTAGCAGCAGACTGCGCAGCAGTAGGCCTCAACATACACAAAAGGGAAAACCAAGATGCTCAAATACAACACGGAGAACATCAACCTAATCACACTTGATGGAGAAGTTCTGGAAGATGTGGACTCTTTCATGTACCTGGGAAGCATCATCGATGAACATGGAGGGTCGGATTCACACGTAAAGGCGAGGATTGGCCAAGCAAAGGCCACATTCCTACAATTGAAGAATATACGGAACTTAAAACAACTTTCAACCAATATCAAAGTCAGAATCTTCAGTACGATCGTCAAGACAGTCCTACTGTACGGAGCTGAAACGTGGAGAACTACCACAACCATCATCTAGAAGGTACAAGTATTTATGAATAGCTGTCTATTCAAGATACTCAATATCTATTAGCAGGATACCATCAGCAACAGCGTACTGTAAGAAAGAACAAACCAGCTGAAGAGGAAGTTAGGAAAAGATGTTGGAAGTGGATAGGACATAGAATACGGAAATCATCAAACTGCATCACGAAACCTGGAGAACTACGAAAGCCATCATTCAGAAGATAAAAGTGTTTATTGACAGCTGTATACACAAAATACTTCGAATCTGTTGGCCAGACTCTGTTAGCATCAACCAACTGCGGAAGAAAACAAACCAGATCCCGGTGGAGGAAGAAATCAGGAAGAACCGCTGGAAGTGGATAGGACACACATTGAGGAAAGCACCCAACTGCGTCACAAGGCAAGACCTCACATGGAATCCTCAAGGGTTTTGTGGAGATTTTGGAAATTTCAATAGTTGAAATCATGAGTCAATTGAAGCTAGACCACCATGAAAAACCTTGAAGCACTGAACGGCCGTTTCGTCCCAGTATAGGACCCCTCAGTACTTATTAGTCTCGCTCGCGAGCGCTTAGCCATTAGACCATTGAGCTGGACGATATCCAACGGTGTTAATATTTAACTTCAACCCATCCACAAAATTGTTCCATCATACACCGTACAACTTTTTTATAATAATTATAATAATAATAATAAAAACAAACAAACAAACAACTAATTATATTTAAGAAGTTTATAACATAATTTCACAGAATTATATAATGGAATATTTTCCCATTTTGTATAAATCAATAAATCAATATGTTTTCTAGAATATATGATAAAAATAAATAATGTAATAATCAATAAAAAATATGATATCGATATAATCAATATAAAACATCCTAAACATAATATATTACTATTTGTTCTATTACAAAATAGATTTAATATGATCATTAATATTTTATTAATATTATTACATGGTATAATATTAGCAAATAATTGTTCAAATTGATTATTTAATAATGTACTTGTATGATTTAATAAAGATTGAATAGATGAATTAAATATTAAACGTATGGATTCGGTCAATCTTTGAGGATCAGATGAAATCTATAAGAGGGAGAGGGAGGAAAAAAAAGATGTAAGATATCATAAAAGTGAATAGAATGATTGACTATTTGAATGGTACATTAATCATGTCCCGATCCTTGTTGCTACCTTGATGTGATGGTCGGGCTTACCTATCTTGATGAAGCAACCGAGCTTTACTGGCTGGAATAACCGTTCCTCTAGGTCCTACTATGTCAGCCAGGTCGGTTAAAGAGCGGTAAGACTAAAAGCAATAAACTCAAGGTCCGCAGGCGAAGTCATACTGCTGACTGTACAGAGGTGTGACAACAGTAAGGTGTTTCCTTCAGACAGCCAGCATGACAGCGATGCTGCCTTCCCAGAAAGCGGGGTGGGGTTAAAAAAGGTTGACCCTAAAAATGCACACCTCGCCTTATATCACGGATATCCGTCTCCAGCGTTAAGGTCTCAACAAGTACGGAGCTAACACAAAAATTACCCATAAAAAGGTCGTGTGTGACCGACCTCAAGCAGCTGTCCCTTGGGAACGCTCCTAGGTCACTAAGACCACCTGTAATCCAATTTCCTTGTCAGGTACCCCCAGAACAACCCTTCTACGGTGTAGGCAACCGGGAAGTGATAACCGACCTCATACCTCTAACAGCACTCTTCATCGATCATGTTAGTAATTCAAAGTTAAAGTTAGATATGGTCAATGTTGAATGTTGGCTTAGTGGTTTAGAGATTAAGATTGAAGGTCTTGAGCTTAGAATCGATTACAATGGTGTAGATGTATACATATTTTGTCTTCCTTAAAATGATGAGATTAAAATTGTTTTATATCTTTCTTTCTACACACTAATTCTTTCTTCCTGTACTTGTGTCCTTGTATGCAATCTTTCTTTTATATATTACCACCATTGAATTAATTACTTCTATGAATTTTGGTGTTCATCTTGTTGTGATAATGAGATATGGTAACTTAAACCGATGCATATATGTGCCTGGTCCTACGTTGTAGCCGACTGACGAGTCCCGTATGCGAGACTATAAGTGAACATTGCTGAGGAGTTTAATATTAAGATGAAGTGTCCTTTCAATGCTTACAGGTCTTCAATAGTAGTGCAACATGATTTCGATTGAAAAAGCGATCCCCAAAACCCTATACTGAAAAAATAAATTGTATCTTGGCTGAACAATAAGGTAATCCAAAACTGTAGCGATAGGTTATTTGTACAAGTATAATACAACAGTGTATTTTAGGGATAGTGATACCATAAGGTCAGCATTAGTGAAAGTTTAGGGTATGTTTCCAAAGGAAGAAAAACAGAATATTTTCAGTGAGATCAGCGGTCATGATTCCGATGCAGTTCATGTGGGAGAAACATCTAGGCATTTTAAAGTGTAGTTGGAGTGAAACAAACAATATTTGAAGCGTGTTCCCAAATCCTCGGTTGATCTGAAGAAACTTATGAAAAGGTTGATGATAGCTTTACATATATTAGAAACAGACCACAAGATCAATTCTGAAGGGATCAAAATGCTTCAGCAACAGTTTGGCTCATGTAAAGAAAGATCGACATCAGAAGCGCTGTATATATATGCTAATCAGAACAGTCGGAATAGAAAACATGTTGTTCAACTAGCTACCACATGGCAAATGATTATTTACAAGTAATTGGACGCTATCTCTACCCAATATGTTTATTTAACACGTACCATTGTTTGATAGAAATCAATGTGATTACGACAATGGATTGAAATTAGAGCCTTCGAGTCTCGTACCAAGAAATCAACATTTACACCACTGAATTCACATCCAGTGATTTACATGTCTAACTTCAATTAGTTTGCGATGTTCTTGAACCATCTTTTAATATCATTGGGAAGAAAACTATTTTACACTTAATACATTTATGCAATATCACGTATTGATTACAACTAAACATAAAAATCATTAACTAATGACTTAGTTGTATAATATTTAAACTCTCCTCTCTTAAACTAAAGTCCTTGAGTTTTATTTTCAATATAATTATAGTCACATTACGATTGAATGATAACTGTCGATTACTTCCTAATTGTTGATGATCATCTAAGATAATTGTTATATCTTAGCGAAGATTAAATTACGAATAACTTCTGAGATCTATTAATGGACTAATATTATCTGTATATTCTTATGGTTTAACTATTCAGTATTTAGCTTGTGTTTATTTATATTCATCTTATTATAAGGTTCACTTTGACCTATAGATTATTATTATTATTATACGGTTTACTGTTCTCAAGTTATGTTTAGTTTATTAACTAGAGTCTCCCAAGTTCAGAACCACATTTTGGCTTTATTGTGTATAAATGTTATTTCCTATTTCATGGTGCATTTCAGTCTGTTTGATTGATACATAAACCCCAGTATATCTGTAATAAATGATTCGCATAATAGATGTTGCAATTGGTATTGTGGACTCAACTGGATGGACTAGACGAGCAACGAACTAATGGGATACTAGGTTGATCAAATCGGATGAATATCATTGGTTTCGTACAGTAGTAAGATTAAATAAGTTGTATGTCGGTTGACGAATAAATGACGTAATAACTAGTGGGCCATAATGACACAATGATAATTCTATAGAATGAAACAATCATCCAGTATTTTCAAGATGATCTAACTTCAATTGACTCATGATCTCAATTATTGTAATTCAATAATCATTACAAATTATTTATCAAATAATGAACTACTTACATTT